TTTTTTTTAATTGATGTAATCAAATGAAATTTACATTTCAAGTTAGTCTCCCATACAGAATTTTCTTTTAACATACATTGTTATGAGACCCCAACCTCTCACCCCATTCTGCGACAGCACACTCCTCCCCTCTGCCCCTGATTCCCCATGAACATTCAATCAGCTCCTAACCTCTCTGCCTTCCCCTCTGACCTCTGGACAGAAGCCGCCCCTTTAGTCTCTTATATCTATTTGTCTAAGAGGCACCTTCTTCACAAGTATCACTTTATGTCCCACAGTCCAGTCCAACCCTTGTCTGAAGAGTTGGCCTCGGAAATTGTTTTCGTTCTGGGGTGATGGAGAGACCAGGGGCCATGCTTTCTGGGGTGCCTCCAGTCTTTGTCAGACCATTAAGTCTGGTCTTCTTACTAGTATTTGCGTTCTTCATCCCATCATTCTACTGCTCCATCAGGGACCCTCTGTTGTGTTCCCTGTCAGGACATTCATTGGTGGTAGCTGGGCACCATCTAGTTCTTCTGGTCTCAGGCTGATGAAGTCTCTGGTTTATGTGGCCCATTCTGTCTCTTGGGCCAATACTTCCCTTATGTCTTTGGTTTTCTTCGTTCTCCTTTACTCCAAGTGGTTGGGACCAACTGATGCATCTTAGATGGCTGCTTGCAAGCTTTCAAGATCCTAGATGCCACTCACCAAAGCAGGATGCAGAACACCTTCCCAATAAGGTTTGTTATGCCAATTGACATAGATGTCCCCTGAAAGCATGGTCCCCAGACCCCGCATCCTTGCTACTCTGTCTCTCAAAGTATTTGATAGTATTGAGGAAACTTCTTAGCTTTGGTTTAGTCCAGTTGTGCTGGCTTCCCCTGTAGTGTGTGCTTTCCTTCCCTTCACCTAAGATCATTCTTATCTACTATCTAGTTAGTGAATAACCCTCACCTTCCCTCCACACCCCCATAACCATCAAAGAATGTTTTCTTCTGTGTTTAAACCTTTTCTTGAGTTCTTATAATAGTGGTTTTATACAGTATTTGTCTTTCTATGCCTGACTAAATTCACTCAGCATAATAAGTTCTAGCTTCCACCAAGTTATACGATGTTTCACAGCTTCATCATTGTTCTTTATCATTGCATAATATTCCATTGTATGGATAAACCACAGTTTGTTTATCCATTTGTCCATCGATGGGCACTTAAGTTGCTTCCATCCTTTGGCTATTGTGAACAGTGCCGCGATGAACATGGGTGTGCATATATCTATTTGTGTGACGGCTCTTGTTTCTCTAGGATATATTCCAAGGAGCTGGATAGCTGGATCATATGGTACTTATATTTCTAGCTCTTTAAGGAAGCACCAAATTAATTTCCAAAGTGTTTGTACCATTTTACATTCCCACCAACAGTGTATAAGTGTTCCAGTCTCTCCACAACCTCTCCAGCATTTGTTATTTTGTGATTTATGGATTAAT